AAGATTAGCACTAAGACTTCAGAAATAGATAATGCACTGAAAGGGCAAAAAACTATAACTGAATCAATGGAAAGCTGAATTACTGAGCTTGAAGGACAATCTCTTAATATACAGCTGCTAGAGGAACAATCAGAAAAAAGAACAACAAAAAACAAAAACCAAGGAAAGCCTGAGATTTACGGGGGACATTACCAAGAAGAGTACTTTATGTGTAATAGGAATTTCTGAATAGAAAGAGACAAAAAAATCCCCATAGAGAATATTGTCTAAGAGTTACTGGAAGATGCAATGTGGATGGGTCTCTTGTGATACAATAGTGAATAATTATTATCATGACTGCTTGTGAAGGTTGGAAATGTAAAGGTAGAAGAAGTTCTGTAGCAAGGAGGGGAGTGATTAACTTCTCAGTCTAGGAGCAGAGGTCCCTGGGACCATCTAGGGAGAAGAGTAGAGAGCAGGACCCTACCCAGAGAAGCAGTGATGCCTGAGATGGAGGCAGAGATGATGACGTGGAGTGATGGTGCAGCTGGGGACTTTAGATCTAGAGAAGGAGAGGGGCTGTGTGCTGAGAACTGTGAGGGGAGGGTGGGCGGGATTGCAGTATATACCCTTTGGTTAGTTGATGATGCATGGAGGGGATTGTAACCACGGCAATGAAACGATATATGATAGGATGAATGTAAAACTAATGTTCTCCCATGTAAACTATCATATAATTCACAATAAAACATTAAAAAAAGAGTTATAGGAAGAAAACTCCCCTACCATCATGAAAGACAAGAAGACAGCCATTCAATAAGCTGAACGAACTCCAAACAGGACAGATCCTAAACAAAAAACACAAAGATACTATAATCAAGCATTTCAAAACCCCAAACAAGGAAAGAATCCTGAGAACTCAGGGAAAAAAAAAAAAAAAGTTGCCTACAATGGAGAACTAATAAGACTAAGCTGTGATTTCTAAGCAGAAACTATGCAGACAAAACAACAGAATGACACATAAAACTGTGAAAGAAAAGAAAATTGCCAACCATATATCCAGAAAAACTGCCCATTAAATGTATGTCAATAAAATTAAGTCTTTTTCAGATAAGTAGAAATTAAAAGTACTTGTAATAACCAAACCAACATTACAAAAGTACTAAGGGGAGCTCTATGGCAGAGAACCATGCATGACAGGTGTCCGACAAGGTTGGCCCAGGATCAGGCAGTGTTTCGTTCTGCTGTGCAGAAGGTCCACTATGAGTCGGGACCAACTCGATGGCACCTAACAACAATGACAACATCACCCAGACTCAACCTAGATATCTAAGTCTGCAAAGTCAAACAGACCTATAAGGCTGAAAACAGAACCAGAGATACAGTTGCAACAACAACAAGATAAACATAAACAGAGGAATAATGCAGTTACAGAACTTTCAAATGAAATCAAATATATTTTAAGAAAATAAATGAAAATAAACCCAACTGTAACTCTAAAAACTAGACCAAGCCTTACTTCTAGCTCTAGCCCAACCCCTCCACTAACACTAACCCTGTTGTTGTTAAGTGTCATTGAGCTGACTCCAATTCACAGCAACCTTACAGTTCAAGCCAACCTTGCAGTCCAGTGCTTATCTTACAGTACTATACCAGGACTCCAATACTACCCTAGTCCTTACCATAACCCAAATACAATTATTTAGCCATAGTTCCAACTCTAACCCTCACTCCTTACTCCTCTCCACGTCCCTCAAAAACAAAAAACAAAACAATTGTATACAGTTCAATTCTACTCTAACACACAGGGTTGTAAAACTTTTTTGAAAAAATTCTAACAGTAAGGTATAATTATTATAAAAATAATATCACAATGAACAGAGAAGAGAGTGAAGTTGGTCAAAGATTTCATTTTATTAAGATCCATACTCAGTGCTCACAGAAGCAGTAGTCAAGACACTAAGTGACACATTGTATTAAGCGACATATTGTATTATGCAAATCCGTTGCAAAAGACTGCTTTAAAGTGTTAAAGTGCCAAGATGTCACTTTGACGACTAAGGTGCACCTGACTCAAATTATGGTATTTTTCAATGACCTCATATGTATGGGAAAACTGTACAATGAATAAGGAAGACTGGAAAAGAATAGATGCATTTGAACTATGATGTTAAAAAAGAATTTTGAAAGTACATGCAGAAAAAGACACAAATCTGTTTTGGAAGAAATATGGCCAGACTGATCCTTAGAAAGAACAATGTCGAGACTTCGCTGTCATACTTTGGACATGTTGTCAGGAGGGCCTCATCCTGGATGACGACATCATATTTGATAAAGTGGCAGGTCATTGAAAAAGAGGAAGACCCCCCCAGAGAGACGGCATGACACACTGACAGCAATCATGGGCTTAACTGATTGGGGGGGGTTTCTCCTCTTCTTCACTGGTCCTCCAACAGCTTAGAACCAGCTTAACACCTGAGCCCTAACAACCAATCTCCAACACGTCACCAGAAGCAAAGCTCCATTCAAGGAAAACAAAGCACATGCCAACAGAAAAATGGCTTTCAGCATGTAGGACAAATGTCTTGTTTCCTAACTAAACCATTTCAATCGTTTTCTCAATATCAGGATGTGGTAACTTTCTCAAAGGCTTTGGGGCTTTCTCCAGCCAATAAACTGCATACGTTGGCAACAACATATGATTATTGATCCCAGAGTTAATTACACTCTGTCTCCTGGGATACATGGCACTTTATCATTTGGGTTATTTACCACAAAACCCTCTAGTCATCTTCGGCCTTACTGCCTAGAACCATTGTGTAAGATGAGTAGACAGAGGTTCTCACTAATCAGATGATGACCATGAACAAGTGATTTAGCATCACTGAGTCTTAAGTTTCCTTATTTTTCCTGATGTGGTGCTAGGGGTTAATGCACTGGGATGCAAGGTCGGTTTGAACTGCAAAGTCAGCGGTTTAAGCTCACCAGCCACTCCTTGGAAATCCTATACAGGATTGCTATCAGAACTGACTCCACAGCATTTAACAAAAACATTTTTAAATGGGGAAAATTAACCGCAGAACTCATATGCTCCTTGTAAGGATAACTGTTGTTGTTGTCAGGTAAAATGGAGTAACATGCGCCTCTATCAAACATGTCCTTTCTATGCAACAGTCTTTATTGGCCTATTTCAGGACACATCTCTCTGTTTCCGTGCATCTAAATATGTTTTCAAACACCAAGATTCCCACCTCAACTTTGCTACTCCTGAAAATAAATATCTGAATACAACATATATGCAAATGTCTGAATTTGTGTATAATTACAGATTCTGAAACTCTAGTGGGGTGTGGTTGTCCATCCCAACAGAAACCCAGTTCTTTTTTCAACCGGCAACACTTCCTCCTATCTAGCTTATTAACCTTGCATATTTCTATCAAGGTAATTATTTCTTACAAAGAACTGTGTTTGTCTCTCACCACCCACTAAATCAGACTCTCAAGACCATCTGGGAGGCTTTTTAAATACTAATCTCGACACCCAGACCCTACTCTAAGATTACATCACTGACTTGGAAAGGAGCGGAGAGCCGGTTCACTAAGTTCCGCAGGTGAATGCAATGTACAGCCAACGTTAGGATACACACACACACCCACACACCCTCCTCCACCACCACCTCCCATTGGGCTGGGCTTGTTTTATTCATCTTTGTATTCCTGTCACCTGGTGTGAACAGAATTTTTTGTGGCATGAATTAATGACGGTAGGACTTCAGAGTCCTTGTATCTTATGAGTCATTTACATAATTTGTTGAGGTGTACTGTGAGCCAGGCACCGTTCTGTGGCCTCGAGTGGTCAGAATTAAGGTGCAGGAGAAGAGCGAAGGTACAATCGTGCGTTCATTCTCCATTCTGCAGATATTTCCGCACTGAGCTCCCATTTCATTCCTATAAAACAATAACATCAATAGTGCCGCGTCGCCGGAAGAGTCAAGGAAGTAGAGACAAAACCTCTAGAAAATGGCAGCTGCCATCTTTTTTTTTTTTTTCCATAATGATACCTGTTAAAGTCACACTGGAGCTCCCAGCCCCACCACCCTGTTCTCCTGTTCGAACCAACCAAAGAGCCAGCTTCAGGGAACTGCCGAGGAGAAGGACGTTTCCGAGGCGCAGGCCCCGCCCAGCTCCCCTAACGCTGGGCGTCAACTTCACCTGGGCAGTGCGTGAAAATGCACTTCCCTAGGACGCGCCCCGGCTCCTCCATAATACCTCTAATTGGTGGACTTAAGGCTGAATTCTAACCATCTCAGTCTCAACAGGTCACAGTCAGACTCCGAATATGAAGATGGCAGGGCGCAAAATATCCACTCATCCCCTCCTTCCAAGGCCGCCCCCCTACCCCCACGCCTTGGTGCCCATAGTCCGCCGCTGGGGGGAGCGCACAGCAGGTGGCCGCGACTACCCGAGGCTCTTTTCCCAAAATGGCAGGGAAGGGTGGTCAGCAATCAGCCCGGATCTGCCCCCCAACCCCGACACCCCGCTGGGCTGCTGGTTCAAGTCCATCCTGGTCAGGGTGAAAAACGTGACCGCCCTGGGGCGCAGGTGGTCGCAGCGCAGAGCCTGAAGGCGCTGACTGGGGACCCCAAGTCGGGTCTTGGAGGAGGCCGGTCCTTGTTCTCCTCCCACCCCTAAATCAGCTGAGCACAACCGTGTCGCGCGGACCCAATCAGAGTTACTACGGTGAGCAGTAATCCCGAAACAATAAGCGGCGCAAAGGCCGGGCGGAGCCGAGTTCCGCGCTCAAGTACGCAGCGCCCGGGCCGCCCGGCTTCTCGAGGTTTCCACAGACAGGGCGCCAAGAGGCCAGGCGCCGGGCCCGGCCGGGGTGGCACCGAAGAGGGCCGGCCCTGCGCTCCTCGCCGGCCGGAGTCCACGGCGCCACCGGCCGCCGCCGCCCTGCCAGGCCTCGAGCGGCCGCCTCCGCAACACAGACCAGGGGCTTGGAGAGACCAGCTCACCCACCCGGCGCGCGGCCTGTTGTCCATCCGCTTCTTCTGGCGCACGGGCTGCAGCGGGATGTTGTCCGTCATGTCCGC